CGAGATGGAAAGAAATTTCACGAGTCTTTAAAGGTGTCTCGATACAGTGTGATTATAGTCATGTGGACACGTGGATATGGGGTGAATTCGCTGCATTCCTGTGTAAGGATTCTTCGCGTTTCTGTGCAACCATTCTTTGCGTTCCAATTGTAAGATTCCTGTGAAGGGCGGTTCAGGCAACTTACGGGTTCATCAGTTTTGGCTAATTAACGATTCTGAAAAATCCATCAATCCTTTTTTTTTTTTTGTTATTTTTCATCCGAAAAGCACAATCGAAGTGATCTTACAAAAGTCTAGTTCTCGAGGTCGCGAAAAAGGAAAGCAAATGAGAAAATTTCCAGGCTTCACAATATAACTTCAAGACACATTTTGGTATTATTTGAAGCCATGTCATCAAATAGTGTCCATCTTTTGGTTCATTTACTATTATAATGTAAAATGTATTACAGTAAGCTCTCGCCTTGCAGACACCCCGCTATTACGGACACCCCATTACCGTAGAATTCCAAAAGTAACGACCCACACGAAAATAACGGCTCCCGAAAACCCGGAGGGTAGATAGAGGGTACTCCCATGTATAAGCTATATGGGCTGTACAGGCCGGTATGGTTTTCAGGCTCAAATTCTCGCCCGCTTTACCTCAAACGAGATAAAACGCCTACCGCGTACCTTTATTCTGCGACAGCGAAAATAACAGAACCCAAGGGAAAAGCACGTGACTACATTGTGCCACCCAATGACATAATATTTTTTTCACGCTCGCATTCCCAGCTTTTGTGGCGGGAAAAGTGCGTCTGTTGTATGTGCCTCGTTTATGCTTATGGTTAAAAATAGATTCGCCATTAAAAAAGCGATTTACCAGCCTTACTACAGACAAAATATCCCAGCTTGTGGTTATCCCCAAGTTAAGGTAGCCTCTGATTAGTGAGAGAGCGGGCGACATTTGGCTTTAGCGATTGCCATGTGACCAGAAATCAACCAGTAAAGGCGCAACTAACCTCAAGCTGTATAACAGCATGCAATGTCATACCTTGGCTTTGTTCAATAGTGTAATAGTAGCGGTCCACTGCTAAGTTTCCAATCTTTGCATTGTCGACCTCTGCCTTCAGCCTTTTTCTTACTGAATCGTCAGTGTCTTGGAGTGTTTTTACCAAAATGTCTGCTTTCACTGAGCCTGGACTGAAAACAAATTTGAGTAGCAAATAGCAAACACCGTAAATTCATTCCAATAGACCAGTTTCGATACATTAAAATTCAGCCTAAAACAACAGAACTCAGCACGAGGCTCTGGGGAATAACTACAGAGTTTGTGAATTGTTTTAGGCTGAATTGTAATATATCAAAATTGGTCTATTAGAAAGCTCGTAGTAGTAATCCGCCTCCGTATTTATATATAGAGTACCTATTAGTGAGAAGCGACTACTAACTATTATTAAAAAGTGGATCATTGGATAATGCAATTCAGGAGTTTTCACTGGCTTAGCCATCATGGTACATGAGCAAAATATACCATGCTCCACAAATATGGTAAGGGTACGCGTAATTTTTGGGGGCGTTATTATTTTTACTTTACGTTAGTTTTCCGTTCTTTTCTGTTTGGGGGGTGAGGGGTGTTAATAAAACAATTACTGCACTCGTGCTTGTTGGATATGAGATGATTATAGCAAACTCAGCGCTATGCGCATCTCATATCATCTCATATCCAACGTGCGCTCGTTGAATAATTGTTAAGTATACGGTTTAATGACTCATGGCTATTCCGGCAGACTTCTGAGACACTCCAATGTTGCGCACCAAGTCAGGAGAGTTCACTGACTATTTGAACTCTCCTTGAGACTTTATCCATACAATATGTAAAGTTCTAATAACGGAGGCTTTCGATATAAGTAAAAAGTAGCAGAGGCCAAACCACCGTCAATAAATCAACAAAGTGTTGTCTACAAATTCGAATGTGATCTGTGTAATGCAGATTACGTTTGCTATGCACGCAGACACCTTTTCCAACGCATTGAGGAACACAAGCACTCCGCTATTAGACAACACCTGCGTGACGCCCATAATCAGAGGAACAAAGATCTTCGGGAAAAATTTACCATCCTTAAGAAATGTCGTGAGAAATGTGAATGCTTAATTTACAAAATACTCTTTATCCAAGAAATCAAAGCAAAACTATTTAGTACCTAATTAACACTCTCTACCGTACACATTGTAGTGTTTTTAATCACAAGCAACGCCACTTTCACACGCATTTTAGTATAAAGAACTCACAAGAGTCTGACTTTTAGTTTTACGAATTTGAAAGTGATGAACAAGTCAGTTGTTACTCTTAATATGTAAAGTTGTTTTCTTTTCATATCATTGACCAATTCTAGCAATAAAGTAACTGAAGTGACATAGATAACTCACTTGAGTTTCACCACGCTCACATCAAGAAAACTAGGAAGAGGGCCCAACACAGACCGCACCTTCAATGCAAAAATGATATCTTAACAATTAGCCGACTATGCAGCCCTATCCCCCACTGGGGGCTATATGGAAGGAGGAGGAGGAGAAGGAGGGCGAGGAGGACGAGGAGGACGAGGACGAGGACGACGAGGACGACGAGGAGGACGAGGAGGACGAGGAGGACAAGGAGGACGAGGAGGACGAGGAGGACGAGGAGGAGGACGAGGAAGAGGAGGAGGACGAGGAAGAGGAGGACGAGGAAGAGGAAGAGGACGAGGATGAGGACGAGGACAAGGACGAGGACAAGGACGAGGACGAGAACGAGGACGAGGACGAGGAGGACGAGGAGGAAGAGGAGGAGGAAGAGGAGGAGGAAGAGGAGGAGGAAGAGGAGGAGGAAGAGGACGAGGACGAGGAGGAGGATGAACAATCATGCTATGCATCATTAGGACAATCTACTGTTTCACCTCACCCTTTTGACTTTTAGCGAACACGTAATGCAATGAAAGGTTAGAAATTCCATTTACTTACTATAGCTGTGTTTAGTTTGTTAACGAATACAATATAAACCTCTCGGTTGGGTAGGTTTTTGGTGAGAAAAAAAGGGCAAATATTTACAGGTAACAGAAGATCCCTCTGGGTCTTATTGGTACTAATAAAGACATGAAGATCAATTTGCGATTCTCAATGCACTTACCTCTTTGGTTATCCTTTCAGCCATGTCCTGAAATTCTTTAGAACCCTTGTTTTTCATGTTCTCATCAAAGTCCTCTTTTATTAATTCCACTTTCAGTAGCAGGTACTCTGTTCCATTTTCTGGGTGGAAAATTGGATGCAAACAAATATTATCCATTTATGTTCTGGGCCAATCAGCATTAAAATGATATTGTGTGCAATTGAGAGAGGCCAATTTTTTAAAACAGTATGGCTCCGCTGCCATCTTGTGCTTATAGAGTCATTGTTGCGTATTGCACGCTGCTATGTTCAAGTCTTCATGGATCTTCACCATCCGTCATAACATATCAATACAGTCTTGACACAGATTACAATCTTTATTAAATCCATTTTGAAATCACTGGTTATCCTTGCAATCTGATTGGCTCTCAATGGTGCGATTTATTCACGAATCGCACTGTTTTTTGTTCTAAATCGCATCTCTTTCTCAGCCATTGAGAATGGCACAGGAAAACAAAACAACCAATCAGATTTCAATATTAGTTTAACCTAAACAATAAAATTTCAGGAAAATGAGAGGTAAAAAGCCATTGTGTGGAGAATTTAGCAACTACTATTGCCAAAACTTTGTTGTTACTGTTCTTTTTTTTTCCAAAAAAATTGACGAATGTAATTAATTACAGTTTCTAAATGACGATTATGAGCTTCTTCAGGCTGAACACCTACTTTAATGGAAGTTTCCAACTTTCAGTGTCCATTTTGACGAATATTTT